CACAGTGTCCATATGGATGATACAGTGAAATCACAGTGTCCATATGGATGATACAGTGAAATCACACAGTGTCCATATGAATGATACAGTGAAATCACAGTGTCCATATGGATGATACAGTGAAATCACAGTGTCCATATGAATGATACAGTGAAATCACAGTGTCCATATGAATGATACAGTGAAATCACAGTGTCCATATGAATGATACAGTGAAATCACAGTGTCCATATGGATGATACAGTGAAATCACACAGTGTCCATATGAATGATACAGTAAAATCATACAGTGTCCATATGGATGATACAGTGAAATCATACAGTGTCCATATGAATGATACAGTGAAATCCACAGTGTCCATATGAATGATACAGTGAAATCACACAGTGTCCATATGAATGATACAGTGAAATCACACAGTGTCCATATGAATGATACAGTGAAATCACACAGTGTCCATATGGATGATACAGTGAAATCACAGTGTCCATATGAATGATACAGTGAAATCACACAGTGTCCATGTGAAAATCACAGTGTCCATATGTATGATACAGTGAAATCCCACAGTGTCAATATGAATGATACAGTGAAATCACAGTGTCCATATGGATGATACAGTGAAATCACACAGTGTCCATATGGATGATACAGTGAAATCACACAGTGTCCATATGGATGATACAGTGAAATCACAGTGTCCATATGAATGATACAGTGAAATCACAGTGTCCATATGGATGATACAGTGAAATCACACAGTGTCCATATGGATGATACAGTAAAAATATACAGTGTCCATATGGATGATACAGTGAAATCACACAGTGTCCATATGAATGATACAGTGAAATCACAGTGTCCATATGAATGATACAGTGAAATCACACAGTGTCCATATGGATGATACAGTAAAATCACAGTGTCCATATGGATGATACAGTGAAATCACACAGTGTCCATATGGATGATACAGTGAAATCACACAGTGTCCATATGGATGATACAGTGAAATCACACAGTGTCCATATGAATGATACAGTGAAATCACACAGTGTCCATATGAATGATACAGTGAAATCACAGTGTCCATATGAATGATACAGTGAAATCACAGTGTCCATATGAATGATACAGTGAAATCACACAGTGTCCATATGAATGATACAGTAAAATCACACAGTGTCCATATGGATGATACAGTGAAATCCCACAGTGTCCATATGAATGATACAGTGAAATCATACAGTGTCCATATGAATGATACAGTGAAATCCCACAGTGTCCATATGAATGATACAGTGAAATCACAGTGTCGATATGGATGATACAGTGAAATCACAGTGTCCATATGGATGATACAGTAAAATCACACAGTGTCCATATGGATGATACAGTGAAATCACACAGTGTCCATATGAATGATACAGTGAAATCACACAGTGTCCATATGAATGATACAGTAAAATCACACAGTGTCCATATGGATGATACAGTGAAATCACACAGTGTCCATATGAATGATACAGTAAAATCACACAGTGTCCATATGGATGATACAGTGAAATCACACAGTGTCCATATGAATGATACAGTGAAATCACACAGTGTCCATATGGATGATACAGTGAAATCACACAGTGTCCATATGGATGATACAGTGAAATCACACAGTGTCCATATGGATGATACAGTGAAATCACAGTGTCCATATGAATGATACAGTGAAATCACACAGTGTCCATATGAATGATACAGTGAAATCACACAGTGTCCATATGGATGATACAGTGAAATCACACAGTGTCCATATGAATGATACAGTGAAAAATCATACAGTGTCCATATGGATGATACAGTGAAATCACAGTGTCCATATGGATGATACAGTGAAATCACACAGTGTCCATAAAATGTGTCCATATGATGATACAGTGAAATCACACAGTGTCCATATGAATGATACAGTGAAATCATACAGTGTCCATATGAATGATACAGTGAAATCACACAGTGTCCATATGGATGATACAGTGAAATCACACAGTGTCCATATGAATGATACAGTGAAATCACACAGTGTCCATATGAATGATACAGTGAAATCACACAGTGTCCATATGGATGATACAGTGAAATCACACAGTGTCCATATGGATGATACAGTGAAATCACACAGTGTCCATATGGATGATACAGTGAAATCACACAGTGTCCATATGGATGATACAGTGAAATCACACAGTGTCCATATGAATGATACAGTGAAATCACACAGTGTCCATATGAATGATACAGTGAAATCACACAGTGTCCATATGGATGATACAGTAAAATCACAGTGTCCATATGAATGATACAGTGAAATCATACAGTGTCCATATGAATGATACAGTGAAATCACAGTGTCCATATGGATGATACAGTGAAATCACACAGTGTCCATATGGATGATACAGTAAAATCATAGTGTCCATATGAATGATACAGTGAAATCACACAGTGTCCATATGAATGATACAGTGAAATCACACAGTGTCCATATGGATGATACAGTGAAATCACATATGAATGATACAGTGTCCATATGAATGATACAGTGAAATCACACAGTGTCCATATGAATGATACAGTGAAATCACACAGTGTCAATATGGATGATACAGTGAAATCAAAAAGTGTCCATATGGATGATACAGTGAAATCACACAGTGTCCATATGGATGATACAGTGAAATCACACAGTGTCCATATGAATGATACAGTGAAATCACACAGTGTCCATATGGATGATACAGTGAAATCACACAGTGTCCATATGGATGATACAGTGAAATCACACAGTGTCCATATGGATGATACAGTAAAATCACACAGTGTCCATATGAATGATACAGTGAAATCATACAGTGTCCATATGGATGATACAGTGAAATCACACAGTGTCCATATGAATGATACAGTGAAATCACACAGTGTCCATATGGATGATACAGTGAAATCACACAGTGTCCATATGGATGATACAGTGAAATCACACAGTGTCCATATGGATGATACAGTGAAATCACACAGTGTCCATATGGATGATACAGTGAAATCACACAGTGTCCATATGGATGATACAGTGAAATCACACAGTGTCCATATGGATGATACAGTGAAATCACACAGTGTCCATATGAATGATACAGTGAAATCATACAGTGTCCATATGGATGATACAGTAAAATCACACAGTGTCCATATGGATGATACAGAGAAATCATACAGTGTCCATATGGATGATACAGTAAAATCATACAGTGACCATATGGATGATACAGTAAAATCATACAGTGTCCATATGGATGATACAGTAAAATCACACAGTGTCCATATGGATGATACAGTGAAATCACACAGTGTCCATATGGATGATACAGTGAAATCACACAGTGTCCATATGGATGATACAGTAAAATCACACAGTGTCCATATGGATGATACAGTGAAATCACACAGTGTCCATATGGATGATACAGTGAAATCACACAGTGTCCATATGGATGATACAGTAAAATCACAGTGTCCATATGGATGATACAGTGAAATCACACAGTGTCCATATGGATGATACAGTGAAATCACACAGTGTCCATATGGATGATACAGTGAAATCATACAGTGTCCATATGGATGATACAGTGAAATCATACAGTGTCCATATGGATGATACAGTGAAATCACACAGTGTCCATATGGATGATACAGTAAATTCATACAGTGTCCATATGAATGATACAGTGAAATCATACAGTGTCCATATTGATGATACAGTAAAATCACACAGTGTTTGTATGTCAGTAAAACAATAGTTTCAAATACTGAATCTTAATGTGTTTACTGCATATTTTTAACTATTTTATACTCAACCAAAAAAGTTCAAAATATTCAATACCTAAGTATTATATGGATCATAATATCAACTACTAGGTACTGAAATATTGATAAGTGGGGTGGTCCTTGACTTTCTTTGGTGAGGATATTTGCACACAAATGGATTGATTCACCACTGTGTTTATTGCAAGAATGGTATAGACAGCACTGGGTAAACCTACAAGAATGGTATAGACAGCCCTGGGTAAACCCACAAAAAGGGTATGGACAGCCCTGGGGAAACCCACAAGAAGGATATAAACAACCCTTGGGAAACCCACAAGAAGGGTATAGACAGCCCTGGGGAAACCCACAAGAAGGATATAGACAACCCTGGGGAAACCCACAAGAAGGGTATAGACAGCCCTGGGTAAACCCACAAGAAGGGTATAGACAGCCCTGGGGAGACCCACAAGAAGGGTATAGACAGCCCTGGGGAAACCCACAAGAAGGATATAGACAACCCTGGGGAAACCCACAAGAAGGATATAGACAGCCCTGGGGAAACCCACAAGAAGGATACAGACAGCTCTGGGGAAACCCACAAGAAGGATATAGACAGCCCTGGGGAAACCCACAAGAAGGATATAGACAACCCTGGGGAAACCCACAAGAAGGATATAGACAGCCCTGGGGAAACCCACAAGAAGTTCCAATGTTGGAATATGTGTGAAACAACATACCTTTTGATAATCCACAAGCTGTGACCTTTTCATTAACTCAAAGCAGATATAGACAGCCCTGGGGAAACCCAACAAGAAGAGATATAGACAACCAAGACAAGAAGGGATATATGACAGCCCCACTTAATCGCTTCCTTCAAAATTTCTGGGAATGTTTTCATGAAAATTCTCAAGCGATTGAAGGATGTACATTTGGAGACCAGTATCACTTTTTATTTGCGCAGCATTCTATGCGCACTTGCAGACAACTGTAGACAGGAGTCGAGTTTACGAAATTCATACCTCCACCAAGATTGCGATCTTAAATACAAACCGTCTACAATCGCACTAAGATCGTCTTTGTGCAAGTGGGCCCAGGTAAATAGTGAAATTTAATACCCACCAATCTGAAATCTTACCTTTGCTCAAATTGTGTCTGTTGATCACGGTTGAACTCCTGCAAAAAAACAGAGTGAGCAAGATAATGAGCCTCTTTCTTCATAGGTTGCTTGTAGAAAAATCAAATTCTCTACATTTCATTTGGCATGTTTGTGATCTGCACAGGATGTGTATGAGAACAAAGCCATACACTGTGTGACTTCAGCTTTAGAGTAACTTGAACGATGCATGACAAAGTACGTTCGCAGGTATCTCTGCTGGATCTGGGGGAGTATAGAATAAAGATAACCTTCCAACCCAACATGAATTACGGAAACATTCGGTAATAGCTTTGCATTCTCATATTGCATTCAAGGTGATTGCTGGTCTAATGAAGCACCAACAATTCAAGTGAACAATTGGACAAATATAATACCCTTCAACTATCTTCAGTGACCAACCTGAGAAGAAGGATAAATCATACGCTGTGCGCATACTGAGTTTGTTCAAGGTAAACCATTAAAGTTCACCTGCACAATGAGATAGATTGCACAATATTCGCACAATCCTTTACGCAAGAGTTCTGTAGTGTAACTACATCTCTGGGTCCTGATCCACAAAATGGTTGTAGCGCTACGACGTTCATAAGCCTATGATACACCATATGACAGGTTGTTTGAGAGGCATTCTAGAAGTTGTAAGTAATAGGAATGACAAGTCTTTGTGGATGATCAATTTCTTTAAAAAAAACCCACAACTTTATGGATGACAACTACTTATTTATTGCATAGAGCAACATTTCGATGTAGATTCTTAAACCGTTGTCAAGCTAAAAGTGAATACAACCAAATAATGAGAGGTATATACCGGTAGTATGTTTTGACAAACAGCAGATTAACATTAACAACAATATGTAATTGAATAACAACTGGTACAGAATTGGGAAAGGCCAGTAGGGGGCCTGATAGGATAGCAATGTTCTGGTATAGATATCGGTATAAGTATCACAAGGACCAGCCCTATAAAATGCACCCCCAACCTGGTTAAAACATTCACATTACAATGTCAGCAGGATGCTGCGACTCACGACAGCTCAGAGGAACCAAGGGTTAGGAAGACTTGAAGCTGGCCACACTGCACAAGCCGTTGCCAATCATTTCCAGGTCAACGCTCGGACCATCTACAGGCTGCAGCAACGTTTCCGGGCTACCAACACCACAAATGATCGTCCCCGTACTGGCAGACCAAGGGTGACCACAAGACGACAAGACCGCCATGTTGTGCGACAGCAGGCATCCGAAACAGCACGCCAGACAATGGGAACACACGGAAGACCAATCGGTACTGATACAGTACGCGCCGACGTCTTAACAGCGGGAACCTCCATTGCATAGACCTTACTGTGGACCTATCCTCACCCCTCGTCAACTGTTCTGTTCACAGATGAGAGTCGGTACTGCATATCAACTGCAGATGGCAGAACAAGAATATGGCGACGACGTGGCCAGCGTTACTCAGACTAATGTGTTTTGGAAAGAGACTCATGGGGAGGTGCAAGCATCATGGTATGGGGTGGAATAGGCCTGAACCAGAGATTGGGTCCTGTGGCGTTCCAGAACTTTGGTCCAGGGAGAGGAGGCGGCATCACAGCGGTGTGCTACATCGACCAAGCTCTCAGACCCTACATCATACTTCATTTCACACGTCACCAGAACAACATTTTCCAGCATGATAACGCCCAGGCCCATACTGCTAGAGCTACACTGGACTTCCTACAGCAGAACGGTGTTAACATTATGCAGTGGTCAGCCCTTAGTCCTGATTTAAACCCAACTGAACATCTTTGGGATGAAATTCAGAGGAGACTGAATAATGTCATACCGAGGCCGAACACAGCCGATTATTGCGCCAGGCCTTTCTCAGAGTGTGGTTCCAGGTGCCAATGGCCTTTATCAATCGATTGGTGCACTCCATGCATAGACGCTGTGCTGCAGTTATTGCCGCTCGTGGTGGTCACACTAGATACTGAAGTCAAGAGTCTGAATGGACTGCAAACATTAACGTAATGTCTTGAAATTGTGCTGATGTGTCAAGATATTGTACACAAAAAATGTTTTTTATCCGCTTAATATGTCCATTTCTGTAATGATTTGATTACGTTTTTTTTGCTGCTGAGTATACATGCATATGGTTCAATTGGTTGTCATTTGCAGGTTTTGATAAGTTTGAATAAGTAAAATACCCGATAAGTAAACAATTTTTGCGAGTCCCTTGAAATTTTACTTATCAGGTTTCCACTGTATACCGAAACGTCGCTATTGTACAACATAGAAGTTGATCATCCATAAAGACTTGTCATTCCTAACACTACAGGTTTTTCAGACTGAGTTAACACATGAGCATGGTATAACTCAACTGGTATAACACAGGAGTTTCTTTTGTCACTGACATATTTTCAATGTGATTTTCATATATAGGTAAGTACGTTAACATCTTAATTCACTCAGTAAATAAAATTAATTAACAAACGCCCTTTGGTATATCAGAATGTACAAGCATTATGTGAACAAATCAGTGTTCAGAAATTCATATAAACATTTTCTCAAGGTTTTTTTCCCACTGGCTTTACAGACTAAAGTACTGTCGGAAATGCTAGAAAAATGCTTTTTGACTGATATTTAAAATTCAGAGGTATTACAGTTACTTAAATAACAAATATCAGTTTAAAAAGCATCTACCTAATGTAGACCGAGGAAATAAAGTTTGAGACATGCCCTAAAATGTGTTTTTACTGATGAAAATACCAAATACTTAGAAAAATAAGGGGAAGTGGGACGTTATTTGATACAAACATTAATTGCCTGTGTTACGTCATCAGCATGCATGGTATCAACAGGTGAAATTGACACTGAGGGTCATCTCAATAGATGTTTTCGCAAAATGTTGAATATATGTAACGCGTGATTGGTTATGAAAGGGTCATCTCAATAGATGTTTTTTCTTCAAAATGTTGAATATGTGTACATTGATTGTATACGTTTAAATAAATGTTTTGCATGTGGTATATTTATGAAATGGGATCATTTGTTTATGTGTGTTTGTTTTGAATATAAACATAAAGTTTAATTACTGTACATTCAAAGAAAGAATCCTGTCACTTTTGAGTGTTATCTTAGCTGATTGATTGTAGTAAAATGTGCTCTACAAGTTCTGTAATTAAATAAATGTTTTGCATGTCAACAGTATATTTCATTGCAAAATATGGATGTAATTCGGTCAGTTTAATCTAGTTTTTCTTCAATAAAGAAACGATAATTAAGTAAAGTAACACAAACATTCAACATTTATTTGTTTAAGAAAAACGTTAATTTATATTTTACACCACCTGTATTATTAGCATAAATGTAAAGACTATTTCAGATTTCTGTTGTTGAACTCTGAAAAAATCCTAAGTTGTTGTTTTGGTACCAAATTCTCTCCTGTAAACTGCCCTTTAAATGCATGGGAATGTTAAATCAATTGAAATAAAAATTAGGTACACTATAGGTGAGTTGATATATTGACAACATAGTACATTTATCACCTTTATAAAGATATTGATGCTAAAAAGCATTTTTCTAGCATTTCCGACAGTACTTATCTACCCAGTCCCTCTTCTGTAGCACCCACCAGCAAATTGACTCACGGCAGCTAGTGAGTCCGAGGCTGCTGTGTTAGACTTAGATGCTGCAGCCATAGATCAGTGCACCTTAAAGTACTGGGTGCAAAGTCCACCCTATACCCCAGCAATTCATTAACTGTACTGACTTTTAAAAATATAAATACAACACAATAGATAGGAGCGAGGTGAAACTGTTGTTTGTATACATACCATTGACCTTACCCTTGTTCTTGTGAGGTTCGTGGGGTCACATGGTTTTGTCTTTGCTGAAACATTTTCAGGCCTCTCAGATGTCTTTTCACATGCCCTTCGTCTGTCATTGCACACATCTTCTGATGAAGAACTGCACCTTTCTCTTGACATTTCCCTGGAAACTGAATTCAACACATCCCTTTGAACATCACATGGTCTCTCCTGTGCTTTCATAAGCTTTCTATCACAGGATGAGCCATATTTATCACAAGATCCTTCTGAAGACCTTTCTCGAGACCCATCAAGTGATCCATCTAGAGATCCAGCCAGTAAGTTCTCTCTGGATCCATCACATGACCTCTCTGTCAATCTATCTTGAGACCTCTCTGTCAATCTATCTTGAGACCTCTCTGACAATCTATCTTGAGACCTCTCTGACAATCTATCTTGAGACCTCTCTGTCAGTCTATCCTGCGACCTCTCTGTCAATCTATTCTGCAACCTCTCACTGGATACATCAACTGACCTCTCCCTAAATCTATCCTGCGACCTGTCTCTGGATCCTTCATGTGATCTCTGTCTCAATCTGTCCTGCGACCTCTCACTTGATTCATCAACTGACCTCTCCCTAAATCTATCCTGCGACCTTTCTCTGGATCCTTCAACTGACCTCTGTCTTAATCTGTCCTGTGACCTCTCTCTGGATCCATCATGTGACCTCTCTCTCGACCTCCAATGAAATTGATCACTGGATCTGTCCGGAGAGGTATCACTTGAACCATCTGATGAGCTTTCTCGAGTCATTGCCCAAGGTGTATTGCTAAATCTTTCCTGTGAGTTCTCATAAGAGGCAGATGCATTAGAAGACCTGTTGTAGAATCTGTTTCGTTGCCAGTCACTTGCCTTGCCAAATGGCCGCTGAATTCGTACTCCAGTCTTATTTGACAAGGGCCTAAACTGCCACTGCCATCGTTTGGCTCTGCTGACAGCACGGGCTCCAAAAAGACGATCTAGAAAGAACAATCAAAACAGAAAGATAATTAGCCTGGAAGTGTGACTGATTTTGATGCTACTTTGAACAGTTGGAGATCTGTCACAGTCAGGTTAGTGCTGGAGGAACACCTGAATTGACGCCGGTCTTGGACATTTACCCCTTTGGTGAAACAACTGTGGGTATGGTGCTGACAAGTGTGGGTATGGTGATGACAAGTGAGTGTGTGGGTATGGTGCTGACAAGTGTGGGTATGGTGCTGACAAGTGTGGGTATGGTGCTGACAAGTGTGGGTATGGTGCTGACAAGTGTGGGTATGGTGCTGACAAGTGTGGGTATGGTGCTGACAAGTGTGGGTATGGTGCTGACAAGTGTGGGTATGGTGCTGACAAGTGTGGGTATGGGTATGGTGCTGACAAGTGTGGGTATGGTGCCGACAAGCCTTGGAACATGGGCACAGGTTTCCAGCACAGCACAGAAAATTACCGTAGTGTGGCTAATAGCATTGCTTTCAGAATTGGCCAACTGGATTGGAAATTATTAGGTCACACTTAATCAAAACATCAAAAAACTGTAACTGTAATTGTTCATGGTTCAGAATACATCAACATCAAGATAACATACCCAACTGTCACCTGTATACACCTAAACAATATATGACTACACCTTAACAATGTATGACTTTACCTTAACAATTTATGACTGCCCCTTAACAATGTACGACTACATCTTAATAATGTACATCTAAACCTTAACACTGTATTAATACACCTTAACAATTAGAGATGGGCGGGGTTCCGTGGGCCGGTACATACCGTGGAAGGTCGCAGAAAAACGTTGTTTTTTCCAATAAAACACTATTTTCTCTTCACAAAGATATTTGTTTAGCAAACATTTTTTATCTCACTAGTTTTTCTTTATATGGTTTCTTTAAAATGCCGCTATCCAATGTAGATTGAACGAAGAAAATACTCGAACGAAAAGTACTGGCAATGGCATTGATGATTAACAGATTTGTTGTTAACTTGTTGTTCAGTTTTGAAATTTTCAATTTCAGATGGAAGTTTGTGAAGGATATCATCTCAGTTTACTCAGTTACTTTTTGTGATGACTGATGACAAGTCATGATTGCGTTTGCAAACTACAACTTGCACTCCTAGTAATTTAATACCTGAAATGCTGAATTGAAGAATCTCATTGCTCAGCCGTGACTCTTGTAATATTTCTAGTCAATGTGGTTTTTGTGAAGTCATTTTGTGATATTGTCAAGTTATGTTCGCTTACTGTCGTTGACTTATTGGAATAAGGAAGATTGTTTATTTTGTTCATAATGTTTGAGTTGTTGAAATCAATGGCAGTGAGCTCAGTTTTTAAGTTTTCAATTTCATCTCCTTGTGAAAGTTTCCTATAGTTATGAAATTACTTCATGGTCCATTTCATTCAAAATCATAAAACGAGACAATCGGATTCATTAGTTAGTAGTTACTGCAGCACGGTATACCGTGATAAATACCTTGGTACTTGAACAAAAACCTTGGTATACCGTGGTACTGAAATTTTCATGGTACCCAACCCTATTAACAATGTATGACTACACCTTAACAATGTATGACTACATCTTAATAATGTCCATCTAAACCTTAACAATGTACATCTACACCTTAACACTGTATTACTACACCTTAACAATGTATGACTACACCTTAACAATGTACGGCTACACCTTAACACTGTATTACTACACCTTAACAATGTGTGACTACACCTTAACAATGTATGACTACACCTTAACACTGTATTACTACACCTTAATGTGTGACTACACCTTAACAATATATGACTTCACCTTAACAATGTACGACTACACCTTAACAATGTACCACTACACCTTAACAATGTATGACTACGCCTTAACAATGTATGACTACACCTTAACAATGTATGACTACATCTTAATAATGTCCATCTAAACCTTAACAATGTACATCTACACCTTAACACTGTATTACTACACCTTAACAATGTATGACTACACCTTAACAATGTACGGCTACACCTTAACACTGTATTACTACACCTTAACAATGTGTGACTACACCTTAACAATGTATGACTACAGCTTAACACTGTATTACTACACCTTAATGTGTGACTACACCTTAACAATGTATGACTACACCTTAACAATGTACGACTACACCTTAACAATGTATGACTACACCTTAACAATGTATGACTACACCTTAACAATGTATGACTACACCTTAACAATGTACCACTACACCTTCACAATGTATGACTACACCTTAACAATGTATGACTACACCTTAACAATGTATGACTACACTTTAACAATGTATGACTACACCTTAACAATGTACCACTACACTTTAACAATGTATGACTACACCTTAACAATGTATGACTACACCTTAACAATGTACGACTACACCTTGACAATGTACCACTACACCTTAACAATGTATTACTACACCTTAACAATGTATGACTACACCTTAACAATGTACCACTACACCTTAACAATGTATGACTACACCTTAACAATGTATAAGTACACCCTAACAATGTATTACTACACCTTAACAATGTATGACTACACCTTAACAATGTATAAGTACACCCTAACAATGTATTACTACACCTTGACAATGTACAACTCAACCTCAACACTGTATTTCTACACCTTAACATTATATAAGAGTCATCAGGAGATGACACATGCAACATCTGATGCAATTTGCAAATCGTGTTTGGCTAATTACACCCCATTTGGGGTTTATTGGTACTGGAAACCTTCAATTTAGTGAGGAACAGAATAACACTGTTCAGTGATATTTCATTCAATATCCAAACATTAAAAGGCACTAGATCACCACTTCATTTATCTATGTTGCAAGAATCATTTAAACAAACTTACAAATGTTTTAGAATTCTGTTCTTTAAACAAGCACTTCCCTTATTTTAAACAGAAGTACAGATAAGCTGAGTATCTGCGTAAATTATGCAAATATTTCTGCGTACACACAAAAATGTCAAATCGTAGCTTGCGTACCGGTAGATAAATAAAATAACTGAAGTATTTTAAGAGGTTCAATTTCAGGATATGAACTTGACAACTTGCAGTCTTTCTTATGTTTCTCATATAACAGATCAAATGTAAATCACAAACACTAACATTTAAACTTTATTATATTTTTAAAATTAATGGAAAATGGCAAAATACCCAATTGAGTTTGAGTGAGGTGAAAACAATTTATTTGGTTACTCAAAAGAAAATTAGGATACCCAATTGAGACAAGTGAGTACATAACTCAATGACCCAAAAAATTATCTGTAGCTCTGTTTTAAATAGATTCAAAGATGTCATCATGAAAACATAAAAGACATTAAAAGAGACCAAAAAAATCCATCATAAAAAGGCACCAGTTGCACACAAGACTGTACCACAGGGTGGAAGCGCTGTCCACGCAAACTGTGGAGTTGCCCCAAAAGCAACTCCATTTCCTCGCTGGACAGTGAAAGAAGAACATGTGGCACAAGAGTAATGGTAAGTTTTCCCTCCTATTTTCATTATTTTTCAAGTATATCAGGTTTTGCCTTTTGGCAGACGGGTCTAGAAATGAACAGATCTTTCTATAATAGCACCCTCGCAAGTGTCGAAACAAGATAGCGGAAAATTATCATTTCAACACGAAATATGACATAGGACATGCAAGTTAGACTAATAACTAGGTTGCACTTTGTAATGTTGGGTTGCACCAGTGCAAATAACAAAGCACTAAATCGAGCCCTGCATAAGGTGGCCCTAGCAATCGATAGGGAAGTCACCAGTTCCAGGCAACCTCTTTCATCTGGACTGAAACTGGCAGTCACACTTAGGCACCTTGAGGCTGGAGACAACTATGGGTCCCTTGCGTATGCCTTCAGGTGTGGAGTGTCCACTATCTCAGAGATGGTTCCAGAAGTGTGACAGGCAACTGTGTTTAGCCTACCTGTGACCCCTGAAGCCTGGACAGCCGTAGCTAACCAGTATAAACAGAGATGGATATATCCCACACCATTGGGGCACTGGATGGCAAACACATTGCTGTCAAGAAGCCACCCAAACTGGCAGTCAATTACAAGGGCGTCGTTTCGATACCACTCCTAGCTCTGATGGATGCAGATTACAAGTTTGTGTGGATCGAGCTTGGTAGGAAAGGACACATGCCAGATGCTAAGATATGTGGCGACTTGGGGCTGGTCAACGGCATGGACTTCCCCCACCCTGCCCTCTGACTGCACCAAGACATGCCCTTCTTCATCCCACGCTCTCAGGAACTGCCTAATGAAGCCATACGGCAGAAGAGCAGAAGAAGGATGTTCAGGAAGGAGAGGACTCTCAAGAGGGAGGAGAATGGTGGAAAATGCCCTTGGGATCCTGACCAATAGATTCAGGTGTCTCCTCATAGTGGAGGCGGCAGTGGCTCTGCACAACCTCCTGAGGCCGAGGCATCCAGGTATTGCAGCACAATAGGCGGACCATGAGGATGAAAACACCATGTCATCCAAGGGGCATGGAGGACCAAGTGGACTGGCTAGATCAACCTCCTGCACCTCGCAAATCAGCCAGAGCAAATGCGATAGATCAGAGGGAACTCCTGAAGGCGCAGTAATTCTGATTTCCAGTACACATAACATATATGGGCGCAAGAACTCGTAACAGATCGTGAGCGTCCATGAAAAAGCGTCAATACTCGTATCTACTCGCATTTACTTGTATCAACTCGTATCTGCTCATGAGTCATTCAATTTTTTCAACCCTCCAAATTGTTTCTACGATCAACACGATTGCCACGACTGACCTCAACATCTGATAGGATCACCACGAATAGTCCAGAATTAAGACCACGATTTCAATCGTGGCGCGAATCGTGATAGTGTGAACATAGCATTTAGGGGATCCATCACAACAACTACCGTTTCCATTACTAAGTCTGTGGAAAAGAGTATCAACAAGTGTGGAATTTCGACAGTTCATGCTCTAAAATCCATGCAACTACATGGACAGTTACTTCAACGTTAACATTCAACGCAATGGACAGTTGCAATATAACTCCATGTAAAATGTACAGTTTGATTTTTCGACAATAACTGAAAAAATACTGACACATTAAAGCCTTAACAGTCAATGAAGGCCTGAAATAACTGTATATAAGAATTGACAGCAAAAAAAGGCGTGTCTGCTGATGAGGTTGTCATATTTCGTGTCGAAACAATCATTTTCCGCGATCTTGTTTCGATACTTACTAGGGTGTCCTTGCTTAACGCGCAATTGCAATAAATAGAGAGGGAGTCAAGCTATAATAGAAAGATCTGTACATTTCTAGATCCGTCTGCCAAATGGCAAAACCTGATATACTTGAAAAATAATGAAAATAGGAGGGAAAACTTACCATTACTCTTGCGCCACATGTTCTTCTTTCACTGTTCAGCGAGGAAATGGAGTTGCTTTTGGGGCAACTCCACATTTCGCGTGGACAGCGCTTCCACCCTGTGTGTACAGAAAGTTTCAACCCAAAGTATTCAATGGTTAATGATTTCTCCTCTGGAAACAGAAAATGGAAGGCAGACAGATGGACTGAGAGACATGTACCACTACTCTGTAACAATGTAACTGTAACTACTACACGACAACAACATACTTCGAAAGTGTAATGATGTAACTCAACATAAACATTATGTACTACTACACTGTAACAATGCACCACATAGGTAGATCCAGGGTTGCGCACACACACACACCCCACCCCATCTTTTCTCCTGAAAGTATATTGAAAGTATAGAGTGTGCGCCCCACTTTCTCTAAAACGTGCACCCCTCTTTCTCTATAGAGTGTGCACCCCACTTTCTCTTGAGCATGCACCCCACTTTCTCTAGAGCGTGCACCCCTCTTTCTCTATAGAGTGTGCACCCCACTTTCTCCAGAGCGTGCACCCCACTTTCTCTAGAGCGTGCACCCCACTTTCTCTAGAGCGTGCACCCCACTTTCTCTAGAGCGTGCACCCCTCTTTCTCTATAGAGTGTGCACCCCACTTTCTCTAAAGCGTGCATCCCACTTTCTCTAGAACGTGCACCCCACTTTCTCTAGAGTGTGCACCCCCACTTTCTCTACAGTGTGCACCCCCACTTTCTCTATAGAGTATGCACCCCCACTTTCTCACAAAGCTGTATCCGCCCCTGCACCACATCACTGTAACAAAGGTATGATAACCATAAAACATACCAGGATACTGCTTCTTCTTCTGCTCCAGGTGGTACTTTAGAACGTCCTTGTACCAGTCTACTTGCAGGAAATGTTGGCCTTTGTACTCCCAGCCATCAAACCTGAGAATACAAGATACAAGTTACATGATAAATCCTTGTACCAATCTACTTGCAGGAAATGTTGGCCTTTGTAGTGAGGGTACACGATACAATATATACTACTGGAATATAGTAACTGCATTATTTCATGTACCGGTATGCCATTTTTAATGCAAAAAAATAATAACATGATTTGTGGTATTTTCCTTAATAATTTTTTTATCCCCCGCAACAACAAAGTTGCGGGGATATAGAAACGAGTTCCGTCCATCCGTCAATCTGTGCGTCCGTCACACTTTGTCCGAAGCATATCTCCTAAACTATTGGTGATAGCTTAACCAAACTTGGTACAAATGTCAACCATGATCCCTAGATGTGCCTTTTGGGGGTTAGACGCAGATGCAAATTTTCTTTTTTGCGGTTTGCATGGAAACACGACTTATGCTGTGGCTATGAGGATGTCATCTTGTCTGGAGCAGATCTCCTAAATAATACATGTATGCTTCATCACACTTGGTACACATATCAAGTATGATCCCCAGATGTGTCTTTTGGAGTTTAGACCCATATATGAATATTTATTTTTTGTGGTTTCCATGGAAACATGACTTATGCTGTGACTATGAGGATGTCATGTTGTTGCATTTCCATGGCAACAAGTTAGGCTTCAACTGAATTTGGTGGTAGTGCTCCTTTTTGAAGCAGATCTTAAAAACCTTTCAATATTCTCCTTCCAACTTTGCTGTATACACTCCAAAACATTTGACATTATCATAACTAGTAGACATATTCATAAAGAGTATTTTGCCGTTGAGGGGGATATTGATGACTTTGTCTTCTTATTCTTTTTATTGTTGACAGGATAATATTTCAATCAACTATTTTCAATGAGATTAACCACATGTAACCTGATTGTGATGCTTTACTCGAATAAACATTTGTTGATAATTAAGCATTTCAATTATAATTATGTGCATACACTGATCTCCGAGATTGAAATTACCAAGTATGCTATCTATATACATTCATGTAGAAATCCAAAGAAGGTGAACATATTACTTTCAAACATATTTCACAATTTCTTTTCACTCATTTCATATTTTGACAACCATCTATTCAGTTTGGCGAAGTGAACACAACTTATGAATAAGAACTCTAATAATCTATTACTGCGATGTCTCAGTATAGATCCCTATAACATGGTCAAGCTGGACCTAGTCCTACAACAATTCTATTCAGTTTGGTCAAACAAATCTGTGCCAAACTAGTGGAACATATGAGCCTTACAGTTTCACCAGATTGCATTCACTAATTGCCCTCTTCTATTTACATCAAACCAGCTCCATATCTACTTTATTCCACACTTTTCGTTTATTACCTTTATCTGTACACACAATTGGTACTTCAAACAACGGTCAGGGCTACAGATAAGGGGCGTACAGGCGTAATGTACGCCTCAAAATCAATTAAGTACGACATAATATAAGATTTCAAGCGTATCGTGTACGCACATAAATACCTTTGTACGTCTAACATTTAATTTCCGTGCAAATGGAAATCTATTTCTTATAAATACTTGTCAACTTTCTTTTGCGAAACACGATTTGACACATGAGGAAACCCCGACAGTAGGAATCCCTTGCGTTGCCATGGAACGATATGCGTCACTATTTTTCGATTGGCTAAAAACTACACTGTTGCTATGTATATCCAGTCGGACCTGACATTTAGCGCATCACACGGTCGCTCAGTTATTTCTCACGCGACTTCAAATACAAATACATGTACATGTATCCACTTGCAATATGATGTGTAAGTACACTCAACCCCCCAAAAGTTATCTGGAGCCCTGACGGTATTGGTACAGGTTTTTAAAAGATGGTGACAATGGAATTCTAAAGGAGGATGTACAGTTACTGTGTACTAATTAACTCATTTCTTAATATACTAGCCTTATATAGATATTTACATAAGTTAGGCTAAATAAAAAAAGTGAAATGTTTCTCGGGCATCGGCGCGTCACTTTTATTTGTGCGAGTAACTATATTTTATTGCCATTTAAAAAATATAATTTTGACTTAGCCAGCGTCTCAATCATCCAATTGTCCACCAACCATGAGTGTCTGAAAGAACAAGGGTGCTTCCGTTTTGCAAACTCGCAGCATTGCGTACTCTTCTGTACAATGCAGTGCGCACTAGGCAGCTACCGAACATTGATGTGAAAATCACAGACAGGGCTAAAATCCTAAGCCCGTGTGGGCGTTTGTGTGGATTCAGTGACCACATAACACTAGGGGAGTTATATAATGCTGTGTCAAACAAACAACTGGAAGTTGACAATGACGATTGGGTGTGTATGCCCGCTGAGTACGATGATGTTTTAATTTTTGAATCTGACATGTTGTGTGGAGAAATCGAAACTAGATTCGTTTGACGACATATTTCTAACTGCGAGTGTAAAAGATGTAGTCGCTAATTTCAGAAGATTTTTCATATTCAATGTCACCTCGGCCAAATCTAAATCTAGTGCTTCTGCAAATTACGGGGATGGCAGTTCTTGTAGTAGAAACGGACTTGAAAGGTCAAACTCAAAGTGTGCATTTCGTTGTTTGATGGGTTGCAGTAAATTATCCACAACACCAAAATTGCAGTTTAAAGGGAAACGCATAAAGAAAACACTCCCTAATGACTTCATAACTTTTCTGCATCTTTACAATGTAGGTTGACACAAATCAGGACACTGTTGGGCTCATTTTCTTGATGTTATGACTGATATTCTTTTGCAAATTGATCCTCACAGAGTTCAGATAGATAAGAGGTCATGTTATATACATGAAATGTTTTCAAATTTCTTCAACTACAACCCGTGAAGGTCTGGGTTAGAATGAACCTACAGTAACCCATGCTTGTCATAAGAGGCGACTAACGGGATCGGGTGGTCAGGCTCGCTGGCTTGGTTGACGCATGTCATCGGTTCCAAATTGCGCAGATCGATGCTCATGCTGTTGATCACTGGATTGTCTGATCCAGACTTGATTATGTACAGACCGCCACCATATAGCTGGAATATTGCTGAGTGCGTTGTAAAACTAAACTCACTCACTCACTCACTCTTCAACTACAACATACCAGATAACCACAAGCACATAGTTGAACCCATGAAAAATGACAAACTTCTCACAGATATTCAGAGACTTGAGATGATTTCAGGTATGTCAAGAGTATACATTGTTTAACACCAATTAAATGATGATATTAAATTATGAATATACTGGACAAAACTAGTTAGGGATATATGTAAATTTTGAAATTATGAATAATGATCTATTTATTCATTGATACACTGATAAAATATCAATCATAAATATACCAATATCCATGCTAACGTCAACTGATTTAGCTGGGCTTGATCGGTTTATTCAGCTCTTTGACTATACATGTGGAACTGAACTCAAAGACATGAAAGCTGTTGATGGTAGTACTCCCAGAATTGACAGTATTGTCAGCAAAGTGTTTGACAGGGCTAACTTGGTTTGTATGGCACCAGTTGAGGTACCATACTCCAGTAGGCTAGCAGATCATGTCCAGATATGTGTTTCTACTGTGCCAGTACTCATGTTCTGGTAGGTGAGAATGCTGCAAAAGAGAGTTACCCTATGTGTGTTCCTTGCTCCAATGTCCACACATGGAAACAAGAGGAGACGGAACCTTTGGGCCAACAAAAAGGCCCAAGAAGAGTTGACAATATGCTTGACTGAATCTACAACTCATTAAACACGAGCTAAACTCCCCAAGCTGTATTTCTGAGAGAAAAAATAAAAACGTGTTCCTCCCTCGTCACTTTTTTTTTATCAAAAAGTAAAAAGAAAGTCCCACCGCCCTCGTCACTTTTGAAAAAAATGTGCCTGAGAAACATTTAACTTTTTTTACAGCCTTACATGGCATCATTCTTCTAGACACTCCTCCCCTTCCCCTTTTTGTTACAAGCCACTAATTAGTACCTCTATTCCCTCGCCTGGCTGTTCTGTTAGCTGTACTCACACCCCTGTAACTGGATTAACTGTAGCATTATGTAGAGATGACAAGATTAAATGCCTTGGACTAGAGTACATGTTGTTTGAAAGAAAGTGAGTACAGGGGAGTGAGTACAGCTACCAGAACAGCCAGGCGAGGGGCTGGAGGTACTAATTAGTAGCTTGTAACAACAGGGGGCTAAGGGAATGGTGGGGCTGGAGGGGTGGAGTCAGTTTCATAATACTCTTACATTGTTAATACTAAGAAGTTGAATAAGCTTAAATACTGATGGACATTATATGATTTTATATACATTATGCTATATTTATGATATGATGGACATTTTAATATAAAGTGCAATTCATTTTCAATATCATCTTAACACATTAAACATTTACAATTAACAAGATTTATGTTTTGGTATTTACCAGCTACTACTACTCAGCTACTACAAAAAACTTTTTTTTTAAATACATATTTTGACGAGTTGTCTAGTGACTAAAATAAAGTGTATAGCATATCATCAATAATTATTTATTCAATAACTGATAAATAATCAATTGGTAATTCCTGCCTTAACCATATTTCACTGAACCCAATGCTTGACAAAATACATTTAACCTGATACACTCAATTTTTAACACCATGGGTCTCTAAAACTCCTCAAACAAATACTCATAGCAATGTGAATTGATAATCGGCTGCCATGGCAACAGAACGTCCCATACCCGTGTGAATCTGGGAAACACCATGAAACATAGTTATGATGTCTTTACTGATAGGTAACCATGGTAATGATTTAATATTTATAGTGGTATATTTCAGTTTAATTTGAAGAAATCTTAATGTGGATTATTGATTATCAATTCCAAGAATATAACATTAGTTGGGTTGAGATAAATTAAGTATAAAAGTGTTTCAACAATAAAAACTGTAAATAGTTCATGAGAAAAGATATTTATGGAGAAAATATAATAGGTGACTTCTTAAAATGAATTATGCAAAATACAAGCTGGTCCTGTTTATTTCCTCCTTCGAAGCTTTCATGGAGAAGTGAAGGAAATACCTTTTATTTCCAATTTTGTTTTCTTGGTATAAATTTCTTTCAACTGAAGTGCTCAAGTAATTAAAATTAAAATCTGTTGAAATTATATTTTTAGGAAACATTTGTTGTAATTATATGTATAGAAAAACATTCGTTCATAATTTTACAGGAATAACAATGGAGGAAACAAATTTTACTGTGGTTACAGGGAGGTTTCTTGAATATTAAGTCGGATGGTTGGTTAGGTCACAGACAACAGTCCCGTTAATTTTTGGAAGCAGTATTTTAGATTTATGGTATGTCAGCTTGTGTTTAGCATCCAACCCTGGTTTTGTTTGGATTTATTTTACACAAATTCAAACCAGGGTTCATGATTCTGGATTGTCATTTCCCAGCCTGCAATACGGAGGAATTCAAACCAAGTTTAATGAGTCTGGATTGTTATTTCGAATCCTGCGGTATGGAGAAATTCAAACCAGACTATATGAGACTGGATTGTTATTTCCCAGCCTGCAATACGGAGGAATTCAAACCAAGTTTAATGAGTCTGGATTGTTATTTCGAATCCTGCGGTATGGAGAAATTCAAACCAGACTATATGAGACTGGATTGTTATTTCCCAGCCTGCAATACGGAGGAATTCAAACCAAGTTTCATGAGTCTGGATTGTTATTTCGAATCCTGCGGTATGGAGAAATTCAAACCAGACTATATGAGACTGGATTGTTATTTCCCAGCCTGCAATACGGAGGAATTCAAACCAAGTTTCATGAGTCTGGATTGTTATTTCGAATCCTGCGGTATGGAGAAATTCAAACCAGACTATATGAGACTGGATTGTTATTTCCCAGCCTGCAATACGGAGGAATTCAAACCAAGTTTCATTAGTCTGGATTGTTATTTCGAATCCTGCGGTATGGAGAAATTCAAACCAGACTATATGAGACTGGATTGTTATTTCCCGGCCTACAGTACGGAGAAATTTAAACCAGGATTCGTGAGACTGGATCGTTATTTTCCGGCCTGTAATATGGAGAAATTTAAACCAGGGTTCATGAGTCTGGATTGTTATTTCCCGGGCTGCAATATAGAGCTGTGTATCGTTGCCTAAGTGGCGAGACGATATATTCCGATACCAGTTTAATGAGGCGAGACGATATATCATGAAAGTATTGGCAATAAACCTGCGAGACAATTATCATCATGATACAATGATGGCGATACGATACGTATCCCAATACTTTACAATTTCTAATAACAGAACATACATGATAGATAAAATGACTGAATCTTTATTTGTTATACAGCAGAACTTGTGTTACATTAACACACTTAAAAGCTGTTCAGCTAATAAAGTTTCAGCGTTTAATGCTTAAGAACGTAGAGTCAAACATATTCGGCATACCTTAATCTAATATATGTAAGTTTGCAACTGAAGTTTCCCTTGGGAAGTTGTGTTTCTCCACCAATGCTTTCACAAACAATTCAAGGTAATTTATATCAGGATTCAGAATTCTGAAAAAACTCTTAAGTGTGCTTTCTAAATTTTATGTTCTCTTTATTCTCTTTGCAGATTCTGATACCTTTTGGTATGGACTTACCGAAACAAATCATCAAAAATGCACATTCAACTTATAAAGTTGAAAAATAACACGATGAAAAAACCCGCACGAAATCGGAGTTCAAACGATTCACAATTTTTCCCCAGCCGCTTGGGGAACAGTGGTGTCAACAGCTGGAGCTATTTTTCTAATGTTTTGTTGATATTTCACAGGCGCGAGCTTCTTATATGTTATGACAGTAGATTACTGATTTAACTGTTTATATAATTTCATTTGTCTATTTCACCACACGTTCTTACTGAGTCACTTTCTCAGTTTGATACTTAAAAGCAATGTCATTATTTAGTGTTGACAGAATTTCTAACTGTGATATAGATGTCATTGTCACAGACTCAATGTCTTGTTTTATTGACACCTATGTGTCTGCCTGCCTGTCTGCTAATGACAATATTCAATACACAACTTCGATCACTGACCACATGCAATTTGAACTTGACAGGCTATACACCGTAAACAAAACGCATTGATTTATGGCCCGAGTTCGGTCTCTGTCACATTATGTAATTACACAGACAGGCAGGTGTGATACTTGTACACATGACATGTTATGATGTCTGTTGATTGCAAAATGTTATACACAAAAAATGAGCATGTATTTACAAAACCCAACATCTAATATATACACACACAATGAGCCGAGAGGGCATCTGCAAATGAACCAGCCGTTACACTTGAGTGCACACCCACCCGCTCTGAATGGGTTCGGTATCCCGGCTGCTTCGTTTCTTGGGAAGTAAACCCAAGTACACAATATTGCACTTTTGATTTGCGATTATACGCTTATAATTTTGTTTATATGATTTTTCATACCGGTAATCAGCAATGTATATTATATGTCATGAATAAGTGATAATTGTGTTTTAATTATGTTTGATTTTTTGGTTGCATGTGACCTTTAACAAAGCTAAGACATCGTTCATAGTTGCTAATAGTGCTATTTGTCAAACAACTATAACATATTTCAATTACTTGAAGACAAGTATTCTTCAGTTCACAGAGAAAAATGTTCACACTCTTTCACTTATACACCAACTCCTTTGTTCATGTAACAAAGACAGCAGACACAAACAAGTTCCTTCAAGGTTTAATCTGTTTTTATAAACTTCAGGAGACTTTCAAAGAGGCTCCCTATTCCTAATGCAAAACTCCTTATAACTTTAAGTAGTATTTAAGTTGTATCGGGATATATCGTCTCTTGTGGCGATACATCGATGTATCATGAGCCCTCGTGATATAAATATCCTGATATATTGCCTAAATGTGTTTTGTATTGATGCACTCGTATCGCGTAGTTGACGATGCAAACATCGATACTATCGATGAATCGTTGCACCACTACTGCAAAATGGAGAAATTTAAACCAGGGTTCATGAGTCTGGATTGTTATTTCCCAGCCTGCAGTATGGAGAAATTCAAACCTGGCGTCATGAGACTGGACAGTAGTCTTCCTGCCCTTCAATATGGAGAACTCATAACATATTCATCATCATACAAAAGACAGTTTGCTCCTCGAGGTTATACGTCACCTACTTGTTTATGGCCTGTTGAGCCTCCTCCGTCTTTTCGAAGCGTAAAACAAGGAACTTGCCATTGGCACGTACTTTGTGAATCACAATCGAGCAGTGCCCACACGCACCAGCAAACAAATCTCTGAAAGAAACAGGTGATTTCAAGGTATTACAGCTATAAAGTGCATATGCATCTGTAGCAGGTTAGTTTTAAAGTGGGTCATATGGTCATGTAGATGGTGTGGGTTTCTTGGTTCACAGTCAGAACAATTCCTGACGCATGTCATCATATCCTAATTGCACAGATCAATGCTCATGCTATTGATCACGGGATTGTCTGTATCAGACACAAATATTTACAGACCGCCACCATGAGGAAGTGTGGACTTATTCACACCTATTCACATTGTTTATCAACCAAATACTACATTTACCAACTACTACAAGATCAAGCTACATATACTTACACAATCAATAATCCCCAGAACCCTGTATATACCCACCTATAATGCACCAATCCTGGTATCAACCCACCTATCATCCACCAATTCTGGAATCATCCTGCCTATAATCCACCTTTTTTTGGCATCAACCTGCCTATAATCCACCAATCTTGATATCATCCTGCCTATAATCCACCAATTCTGACATCAACCTGCCTATAATCCACCAATCCTGATATCAACCTGCCTATAATCGACAAATCCTGATATCAACCTGCCTATAATCCATCAATCCTGATATCAACCTGACTATAATCTACCAATCCTGATATCAACCTGCCTATAATCGACAAATCCTGATATCAACCTGCCTATAATCCATCAATCCTGATATTATCCTGCCTATAATCCACCAATCCTGATATCAACCTGCCTATAGAGCACCAATCCTGATATCAACCTGCCTATCATCCACCAATCCTGATATCATCCTGCCTATAATCCACCAATTCTGGTATCAACCTGCCTTGAATCCACCAATCCTGATATCATCCTGCCTATAATCCACCAATTCTGGTATCAACCTGCCTTGAATCCACCAAAACTTGTAATGAACAAATAATACTCCGCAAAAACCTGAGTAAACCTACCGGTAATCCACCTAAGCATGTATTGACGTATCAATAATTCATTTAACTCTGTAATTATCCACCTAAATGTACCAAACCTGTATTGATCAACCACTATGCACAAAAGCCATGATGAACCTCCACCAACAGTTTGATATGAATTCACCACCATGTACTGCTTAAACTCACCATCATGTACAGATTAAACTCACCATCACATTAAGCTAAAACTCACCATTTTATACTGCTATTACTCACCATCATATCCTGCTTAAACACACCACTATATCCTGCTATAACTCACCACTATATCCTGCTTAAACTCACCATTATATACTGCTATTACTCACCATCATATCCTGCTTAAACTCACCTCTATATACTGCTGTAACTCACCACTATATCCTGCTTAAACTCACCATTTTATACTGCTATTACTCACCATCATATCCTGCTTAAACACACCACTATATCCTGCTATAACTCACCATCATATCCTGCTTAAACTCACCATTATATACTGCTATAACTCACCATCATATCCTGCTTAAACTCACCTCTATATACTGCTATAACTCACCATCATACCCTGCTTAAACTCACCATCATATACTGCTATAACTCATCATCATATACTGCTATAACTCACCATTATATACTGCTATAACTCACCATCATATCCTGCTTAAACTCACCATCATATACTGCTTAAACTCACCACTATATACTGCTTAAACTCACCATCATATACAGATTAAACTCACCATCACATAAAGCATAAACTCACCATCATATATAGATTAAATTACCATCATAAAATCTTAAAATCTTACGAGAAACTATGTCATAAAGAATTACAATGTGTTTTCATGCGTGAGTAATGAGATAATATTTCCTGTTTGCCCCATGCCTTACCACTGACTCGACATGGTAGCACAATATGAGTCCCATCGCACTGCCCACCCGGTGGAATGATTGCAGACACAGCTGAATCTCCATAACTCTATCAACTGGCCATATGTACACAGATCATCATGATTCTACAGTGCAAGCTGTTGTAATCAACAGAGCGGCTACGGCTGGATCTGGTGTTTACCTTACGTCATCTGGCGAGGCGTTTCGGGGCAAACCTCTCACGAACACACTGTGCTGACTTGCTGGCACCAGAGACATATCGACGTTGAGTTTACGATACCCATGTCGTGGCGACGGCGGTGGAGGCATGTCGACCCCGTCAGAGGCGTCTGCAGCCGTGTCCTGGTCGCCTCAAGTGTACAATATGTTGGCACTTTTCCTTCCTGTTTCTGCCTGCCCGGCGAGTCGGTTTACAGCAACCAATATGTCGCATACACAAACATCGATGTCGCAGCTCTACTCTTTCATTCATTATGCAAACCGTCTGATCGATCAATTTGAAATATACAACCGTTGTCAGACCACGCCTCATTTCTGTGAAGCACGTGCATGGCTATTTGGCGGGAGTTAAGACGCTCCACAGGGTACCGCAAACCTCAAATTGGGTCAACACGTACGTGTACACGTGCAACGCGGAAATAGTAATGTGTGGCTTTGTTCGCTGTGTTGAGAGAAAACATATGGCGCATGTATGTCGACCGCTTCATATCACATAGACCAAAACAAAGTAACGCAAACGCACACGCGCATGCACAGTCAACAATTTCTTATATTTAATAGCTACTTAAAGTTTTGAAAGCCAACTTCATTTTAAAAATTTGAGCAAGAGAATTGGAATATTATTTTCAACTTGTTTGGTATGTATTCAGTAGCATCAAATATTTCCTAAATGTACATGTATATGCATGGCAGCAATCAATGTCGTTGGTGTCAAACCCGAGGGGAACTTACATTCAGCCCATCTGTACGGATGTGTGAGCGAGTGCTGTGTCTTTAGTGAGCTAGACTAACGCTTAGTCTCTGAATATATAAAATTTTCATAGTAACAAACAAACCCATATAAACATAAAAGGAGCCCAAGGGAGACCAGAGATTCAGAACCTGAGGAAATCTAGACTTGCTTTATTTAGAGCTTTGGCATTGCAGAGCGGGCTTGGCAGTGGGGAAAATAATGTGGTTCAGGGACTGTGAGACAGACTAATAGTGACCCTGCAGTGCATACGCTTTGTCACAAATGTACACAGTCTACCTTAGGTGGGAGAGTAGTCTGTCATACAGACCCTGAAACAAACATATCCAAGAAAGCCCAATGCAAGTCTAGATTTCTACAGTTTCTGAAAACGAAGAAAGTCTCAGGGCTCCTTTTCATTATATTTCATATGTATTTATTCTGAACTTGGTTTTTCTGTAAAATATGTTCATTTCAGAGACTAGTTATTAGTCTAATGTGGAGCAGAGGCTGTTGTACATGGTTACTAAACTTGCCAAATACCCACCATATATTTACTACAAACAAACAGTACGGGCAGGTAGAATTTTTGCTTGTCATTTACCATAGTAAAGGCTATATCATGAGAATATAGGCCAATATTACTGTTAGTGAAGGGAAACATTATTTATGCACTTTCGAAACACGGAAGTCGTCGTCATACAAGCGAAATTTAAACAATGGCAAACACCCCAATTTCAACTGCGCATTGTGCGGAAATATTTTGTGTCAGCTCGCCATTGTCACGAAACTGAACTCATGATACCTGAAACTAAACGACCACATCGATTAAATATCGTTAGCATGTTTATTTTAGCAATTTTGATGATGCAAATTTCGTCGATTATGGCCCGTATCTTCTTCCATCGTTGTGTGGTCGGTTTAACGGAAATATTGACCGCCCTGTATAATAACTGGCAGGAAACGGTCAGATCCATATAAATATGTTGGGGTCTTTTATGATAGGGATTTGTCATTGTTTCTGATTTTTGGCCACTGGATTTGTTCGTATGAAAAGCCACCTATCATGCCATATTTTCCGATTACATAATAAAATAAATAATAATTTGATCTAACAAACTGATTAATTTCAATAAAAAAATTGTTTTGTTTTTAAAGTGTGAATGTCGGGTTTCAAAGGGACAATAATGCAGAGGAAGAAATTCGGTGTTCTTGATATATATGGAGCATACGATCTGTACAACATTTTACAAATCTATGTGTACCGTTTTTTTCACAAGATGATGCAATTGCCATCAGGTGTCGGAATCAGTGTGCTGCACAGTATGAACAAGTGTGCATACCCTTATTATTGAATTATGTATGGTCATAATAAACAATTTAGATGAAGGTTCCTGTATATAACGATACACAAATAGACTGCTCAGTACAATGAATTAGACAAATTACTGGAATAAACTGAGTATGTGAAAAAGAACCAGTGTAGATTGCAATAATATCCCAGCAGGCACATCAACGTTGTTTCAACGTTGAGAATAGGTTGATCCTCAACGTTGAAAATAGATTGAAAATAGGTTGTATATGAAAGTTTTTTTGACGTAGATATCCGACGTGGAATCAATGTTGAAGTCTGACATATTATTAACGTTGAAAATGGGTTGTTCCGTGGTTGTGTCTGGGAGGTATTACGCTTTCCTGTAAATAGACTCGCACTTCGTCTTTAAACTACAATAAAGTAGCACCAAACTCCTGCATCCAGCTAAAATACCCAAAAAGGTACCTGCAATAAACAGTGTTCAAACAGAAAATTGCAGTAAAAATATTTACCTGATAAAATACTTGGTTAAAATTCCACATTCAATATAATGTTCATTTAAGTTTTATGTCAGTTGGACGTATAATTCCAGTAAGAAGAAAAGAGTATTCCAAATTACGAAAAACTATTTACTGTTGTATTGTTACCTTGAAAAGGTGAAAATTGTCGAGAAGACATTTTGTCTGAATTTCAGCTCTTAGACAGACCCCTGAATAAACACAATGCAATTACTTTCACCATGAAAGGGATCCAAGATGACCAGGAACTATACCTGAAGACAGCACATAAAACAAGTCACTTTTCATGAAATCTTTATGAACACACACGCACACAGAAAACGTGGTTTAATGCATAATGTAAAACATCACACATGACATAGTCTGTAGGTGATCTCTGTTGTGCTAATAACACAATATCATCTGCATATAGCATCAAAGTGACATTTACGCCACCAATTTCAATACCACAGTTCAGATTTTTCAACACAATTCCAACTCCAAAATCACAATTATCAGCTCCTCTTCTTTCTGCCACTCCCTGCCTGGCGGTCAGGTGGATACTTCAGAAATGAACTCATTCTGAAATTTTATATTTAAATACATGAATAAGTTATATGGAAGATATATTGTCTTAAATGATTCAATTATTTGTTTAATCAATCACTTGAAAGGTTCATTTCACTGCTGTAACTTGGCATGTGAACATATGAACAGCATCAATACAATATATGACGAAAAGTCTAAACAATTTATATTTTCAACCGAAGGAATGAAAGTTTTCTTAAACATTTTCAAAGAAAATCCTCAATTGCAAGTTGATTATGTAATTAGACTATGAATTACCAGTAGGATGAATTAGACGATGCTTTACTGTCATATATTATTTGCTATGGTCATGATGAAAATGCTGCACTTGGTAATTAACTTACCAGAGATGATTGAATACAACCTTGTATTCTTAAAAGAAAACTTGCCGTTTTGCCCATCAACATTCATTCTTGACATCAAATTGTTTGACATTGTCCTGCAAAACAATGGAAGATTGTTGTTATTCTGTCAGATTTAGTTTTCTTTAGAGATTCTCGGAAATGATTATTTCAAATTAATAGGAGTTGAACTGATGTAGCAATTTTGCTACCAGGAGTCATAAATTGTAACAAAAGCCATTTTACATTAAATGATAAGAAAACAAAATGGGTGGTGGTTCACAGGTCAAAGAACAAGTCTATTGTGGGAGGTCTCCCAACACCATTTGTTCCCAAACACAAGGAAGTATGGATCATGGAGTTCTGAAAACAATAATGAGCTCTCATAAGTATACAATATATTCTCTATTATCTACTCTCTCCCTCTCTCTTTGTCATTTGTACACTCATAAAACTCAGATAAATAACTTTTTTTATAATTCATAAATGTTTACACTTAATCTCTTATAGGAACGCTTAGAAAATCTCTCATAATGAATTATGTGTGCGTATTATCTGCGACGTCATAACTATGCTTCTCTGAATCATGAACAATAAAATAATGAGATTAAACTCTACATTGCCAGAAATAATCTATCATACCATGAATAATAAGACATTGAATAACATCTCTTACAACTCCAATCTACACTCAAAAAGACTTAAATGTACTCGTAAACAAACATCGCTGGCACACGCAAATTCTTGGAAACAGTGCATCTCTGACTCTCAATTCCAAGAAATGGAAGTCCTACTCTATTTGACCAAAGGGGTGACAGGTGGCCAAAACATATTGAATTGTAGGTCATACACTGAAATTAACTCTGATTTAAAACACTACAAATATACACCTTCTCTCTAATATACTCAATAGATGATCTTAACAAGGGAACATGTACATAAAATGCTGATAACTAACAACACCTGTACTTTAAATAATGGACTCTTCCAAATCTCAGTATGTTTCACTCCACACATATTAGATTGCAAATAATGAAAAACCTACCCTTTGACAATAATAAAAACATCATATTCAAATTCTACAGCTGACCAAATACCTGAAGAGTGTGTTTCCCAGCAATAAACATCTCTAATATCTATAAATGTATGACTTCTGTCCTCTCGCGTGCTATCTTGCATCCAGCTGTTTACGGCGAAAAACAATATGGCGCCAAGCAAGGGAGTGCTCATTAAACTAAACATCTCCGGGAGAAATCATTGTCAATTTTTTTCTCTTAAATGATCAACCTTAATTTATAAACGAAAATAAAGACCAACTATTATCACCAAAAAAGACCAAACATTATCACAAATATTCAAAACAGGTGGTAATGAAAGAGCATTATCATCTTTCTCTTAAACTTTGTGGTGGATATACTGGAAACAAGTGAAATGTTAAAAACGTGTTCCCTTAGCCTTGCTCCTTTTATGTGATCCACAAAATTGCTGCCACCCAGTCTTCGAAGATGAGATTTCTGCAAATTCCATTAAAATAATCTTATTTCATAATTAAATGTTCCTTACATTAAAATTACTTCTTTTCTATGTAAGATTTTTACCTTTAAGAGACATGACTTATCATATCCCTTCCAAACAAGAGTAAGACTGACTGACTGAGTTTAGTTTTACGCCGCTTTTAGCAATATTCCAGCAATATCACGGCGGGGGACACCAGAAATGGGCTTAACACATTGTGCCCATGTGGGGAATCGAACCCGGGTCTTCTGCGTGACGAGCCAACGCTTTAACCACTAGGCTACCCCACCGCCCCAAACAAGTGTAAGAATGAAAGTCTGTGGGTGCAGTTTTGTTAATTGTCCCATCAAAGAATCATTAGTGAAGTTACACTTTTTGTAAATAAATAAAAGTAAAAATAACTTATATACAATTCAATTTCATCCTTAACAAAGACTTTCACAAGACATTTTAAAGTGAAAATTTTCGTTGCATTTCCTTATGCCATTCTCCACCACCCCCTCCCCCAAATAACATACATATGTTGACAGGGTTCAGGGCATGCTCAATGCATCATTTACTGATAGATCTATTCAAACGAACAAATGTTCATAATAATGGGATGCAATATAAAATGTTGATTAATCCTATCCGATTTTGTATAGCTGCCCTTAGGGACCGTTCATAATGTATGGCTTTGGGGTGATGTTGATTTTTATGTACAATGTGAATTACTGACCCCTTAGCTCCCCTGAACAAAATGGGTGACACCCCACCCCACCCCACCCTCCAACCCTTACAATCAACACCCCCACCCGCAG